CAGGAATGTGCTTCTGCGGCACACGAGGCCTCTGCAATGATTCTTCAGCCAGTTTGGGGGGACGGGGGTCTGCCACATCCGCGGTTTCAAAATAACAGTTTCCTGGTACGTCCGACGGGTGCCTCAAGGAGCCGAGAGGCCCGGCCCCTCCATGGGGAACGTCACCGTCCCCCGGTGCCCAAGGGTGGCTGGTTGGGCTGCTTGGCGCGGGGGGCTTGGCCCATTTCCCCTGAGAAAACAGCTGTTTCGAGTGCCCGCCGATCCACTTTATTGAGCACAGTAATGCTCCTCGATCCTTTCTGAGCTGGGGAAAAGGTCTTTTCTGCCCCAGCTCGGGTTTGGCCGGGACATCTGCCTGCGTGTCAAGATGCATCTGGTCTTGTTTATAGCCCAGGAACGGGTGACGCCGAGGGGAGACCACAGGCTGCACCGGAGCATTTGTGCTCCAGGCTCTTCGGCCCCTGGGATGTTGCGGGCTCAAAAGCAAAGGAAGGGAGCTGGGAGGGTACCTGCTTTTCTAAAGCCCGGCACAGCAAAGAGTGCCGAATTGACAGGCGTCTGCAACAGGGAAGGCAGCGTTCCCCCAGAGGTGGCATTTGGTCCTGGCAGAGGTTGGGGAAATGCAGTTTTCTCTCCGACCTCAGGCGCTGACCTGAGGGTGCTTCTGACATACTGGCTCTTTACTCTGGGTGACAACAGGATCCTTTGCAAAGCCTCTGTCTTCAGAGGGGCTGAAATGACTTGGCTTGAAGCACCTTGCCTGGCTCGGTGACTTGAGACCCCTGCGTGTGAAGAAGAGACGCGTGCGTGACGGGCGTTCCCTGGGTCCGCTCCAGCTTCTCTCCGATTCTCATAACTTTCTTCCAATGCGTGGAGGGGCTTTTTGCTGTTTTAACTTCCTTTTCCTCAACTCAGCTTTTCAGAACAGCAAATAATGGGCTGTAGGTTTATTTAAATGGAGGCAGGAACTATGGTGGCCGGTCTCTTGGGTGGAGTGCGTGTAGCAAGCTGGCGGCTTTATGGCACGGGGCTGTCGGGGGCACGGCGGCAGCGACTCCTGCGCGCTCTCCGTTTTGCGCAGAGTCCGTCCTGTTGCCTGGGGCTGTGGTTTCTGGTTTACCCTTTTTTTTTTTCTCTCTCTCTTTTTTTCTTTTTAAGTTTTTTTTGGTTGTGTTTTAAGCTGATCAGCTTGGAGTAGAACAGAAGCCGGAGGCTGGTGCTGTGATCCCAGCCCAGGTCCGCTGTCTCACTTTCTGCTTCTGAAACAGTGATTCTCAGCCTTTTCGGACTCGAAGCACACTTGGAAAATTCCAGCTCTTAGTTTTTGGTTTGGGGGGGTTGACTGTAGAAAAATACTAGAGTAATTCTTCTGGTGCAAAGACCTCAGAAAGACCACAGCAGAGCAGGATGGTTGGATAGATTCCTACTGGAGAACTCTGGACTTATCCAGGGTATTGGGTTTGGCACCCCACGGCACCCTTGAAAGGATCATAGGGCACCCCAGGGAGCCCCGGCACCCTGGTTGAGCATCCCTGTTTCAAAACAACAACAGGAAAGTGGCTGAAGGGCTCAGGAGGGTCGGCGGCACGCTTCTCGCACTTCGTGTCGCTTGATGGCAGGGCAAAGCCAGGGCAAGAAGTGGCAGCTTAAGGTGACAGCGCTAATTTGGGTTTTAATTTACACGAGTCTCCTTGTGAGCCAGTTGTCATATGATTCATCAGACAGCAGCCTTTTGCGGTCCGTGAATCTGTCGTGCATGCTGATGTTCCTTCAGCCAACTACCAGCGCAAGGCAGTTGCGGCTCCGGGGCATCAGCAGGCTGCCTCGCCGGCGAGGGACAGGGGTATCCAAATGCATGGCAGTCCAGATCCCCAGGCCTGCGCCCTGTGTTGGCATTGAGAAACCCCGACCTCATCTCCATTCCCAAATCACAAAACCCTGTTGGGGACTGCCCCAGGCATGCTCACATGCCATTTTGGGGTGGAATTAGGGGAGGGGTCTTCTGCGCTTCCCTCTGCCTGCACTGCTCCGTTGTAGGTGCACCCTGAGCATATTGTCACGGCTCTAGAGGAAAAGAAAGCGTGCCGTCTTCTGCCCAGAGACGGAGTGGGGCTGAGTGCCTTCTCTCTGAGGGCTGGAGCATCCGCAGCAAGGAGTGGCCCCTCGCACCAGGTTGCTTTTCTCCCTGTACAGACGGGGGCTGGGTTCCACTTGCTCATGCTCTTGCACCTTTCTCTTCCAGCATCAGCGAGAGCTTCCTTACAGTGAAAGGGGCCGCACTCTTCCTGCCGAGAGGAAATGGGTCTTCTACTCCCAGGATCAGCCACAGGCGCAACAAGCATGCAGGTAAGCGTGCCCACAAGTGCCAGAGCTGCCTGGTTGCCCTGTCCCCGAATACACCCTCTCCCGGGTTCGGTGCCAGCCAGACGGAAGCCACGTGCGCGCCAGCACGCGGCCTTGTGTAAACACGGCTTGTGCAGCTCACGGCTGTGAGGCTCAGAGCGCCCGTTCCCACTCGTTCAAACATCGCGGGGCCGCATCTCTGGTCCCAGCAGGCTGCAAGGTTGTTGGCTTGCGCTCATCCAAGCGGTGATTTAGGGAGGCTGTCACGGCCCACAGATTTGGTCACCGTCTCTCCATAAATAGCTGAGCCACCGCTGCGCTGCCAAGAATGCAAGCTTCCTCCCGGGTCACGCAGAACGATCACTAGCGCAGAGACACGCCGGCCTGAATATCTGCCCACAATGGCCCGGCAGCTGTCAGCTTATTCTGTAAGCTTTGTCCTGGGTGGGGAGGGAGGGGTTCAGTACCCAGCACCACAGCACCAGGGGTTGCAGGCTGTCTCCCTGATCCCTAACCAGCTTCACACCAGGAAAGTCCCCCTCCGGGTGTGAATGCTGGTAGGAAAACACCGCGCCATATCAGCATGACTGGTGTCCGGATGTTGACAAACAGCATGAGCGATACGAAGGCAGTCTGAGTTTCGCCCTCCTGCTCTGCTAGAAGTTCGGCTTGTTTTCTGCTTTCTTTGTTTGAGAAGTCAGCCGCAGAGGAACACAACCCAGACGCTGCTGGGTCATTGTGTACACGGGGCTGATTCATTGAGGGCACGTCCGGGATCGGATGGTTTGGGGTGATGTTGAGAACTTCTAGTCTGCTCAGGTATCAGCAACAGACAGCAGAGACGCTGGACTCTGCTCCATCCCCCCTGGAAAGCAGCTGCTCAAGTCAAGGTTTCCACAGCGGTTTCATCCCATCGTCTGCCATCAGAGGCTTTGAGGTGCCTGAAGAAGCAGCCCTGGATGAGGACGCAAAAAATTACATGTGCCCTTGCCCTCCCCGGATATGGAAGCAGGAGCTGAACTGTTTGTGGGCGAGGGGTGTTTGTTACCTGGTGTCCAGAGAAAACAGAACGGGCCGGGAGCCTGAAAAGTCAGCCTCGCTGGCAAGTCTGTCTCTGGCACGGAAACGGAGTCAGCTGCCCTTTACAGGTCTGCCTTGACCCTGCCCTGCAGAAAGTTTTCCCTTGAGAAGGGCCACGTTGGCTTTACCTTGCCGAGAGCTCCAGACCAGTGGAACCGATTTGCAGCTGTTGCCAGAACTGGTGCGTGAGGGTAACACAGCAGAGCTGCCAGCCTGCGGTTCATGTTCTCAGGGCTGGGGAACAGTAGAGGAGTGAAACTCTGCGGCTGGAGCGAACACCGAGCCTGGAGACGTCCAAAGGCTGAGTGACCAGATCTGCCGTGCTGCAGTCGCACCAAACCATGCGTTCTTGGAGTCTCTGTTGCCTAGAAAGCTGGGTTCTAATCCCAGCTCTGTCCTTGGCCTGCCTGGTAATAGCCTTTGGCCTCCTGGTGCCTTAGTGTCTCTATCTGCAAGCACTGCCCGGGCACTTGGCAGGATGTGCCACCGGGAGACCGCTCGCTTGTCTGTCATTGCTGTTGTAATGAAGAGCTCTGGGCTGTCCTGAAGCTAGACCCCACGAGGGGTGAGGTGCATTGTCTCCCATCCTGTCCTGGCTGCTGCTTCACCGCCGACTGCCAGAGGACGGAGGGGCAGACACAGCGACTGCCGCCGCGACACCAGCCACGCTGACAGCCCATGCCGTCTTCGGTGCTGTGCCCTCCTTGCTCGCATCTGCCCCTTCCCTGCTCCTGTGTGACATCCTGAGGCCCACACGTGAAGCGTGGCTGGGCTGGTTGCCAGGGCAGAGCTAAGCAGGGTCCTGGTGCTTCGTCCGGCTTTGAAAGTTCAGGACTTTGCCCTGGCAGGTGGCTGGCCAGCAACGAAAGGAGGAGAAATGCAACACAGCTGCTCCTGTGTCTGTCTGCTCCCTGGCTGACTGGCCTTGGAGCCTCCCAGGAGGAGAAACCGGCTCGGCAAGTTGCTTGTGCACGCTCCTCTCTGAAGCCGCCGTGCAACACTCGGTGTGTTGTGAGGGATGCTGCAAGGTGCTGGCCTCCAGTTCCAGCCCCGCTGTCAGTTCAAAGCCCTGAGACCCTGGTTCTTCACCTTTGCTGGGAGAAGCATCGCTCGCTTTCTCAGCTGCCGGTGGGGTGTAAAGGCTTCAACTGCAGGCTTTGTCCCTGTCAGGAGCCATCCGGGCTGAGGCCTCTTTAAGCCTTTACCCTGGAGCTGCGACCCCCAGCACCCAGTCGGGCTGGCCCTTGTGGCCTCTGGCATGGCCCTGGCACGGGGAAGTCTGGTCTCCCAGCAGCATTGGGGATGCAGGAGGAGAGTGGGCAGCTGAGCAGGGGTGACAGTGGGGGCAGTTGCTCGCCCTGCGGCAGCCAGTCCCTGCAGGACGGGCATGTTGGGCAAGGAGCCCTCTTCCCAGGGACAGGGCGCTGTCTGCAACGGGGCTGTCATTGAATGCCTCTTGCTGGGTGGAGAGCCTGTGTCCAGTTGAGACCCGGTCCCAGGGCTCTCTGGGGGCTAAAATGTGTCTGGGGGGGATCAGGAAAGGCTTGTATCCCTTCCCCAGGCCACCTGGAAATGCAGGTGGGAGCCCTGGCTTGGGGGTTGCTTGAGGGCAAGGCAGACCCTCTCTGCAGCGTGTTTGGTGTCACAGGGACAGAGCTTGCCCAGGAAGCACAAGCTCTGGTCAAGGGGGTGGTGGGACTGGGGCTTGCAGGAGGTGAGGACAGGGAATGCCCAGAGCAAAGAGCTGTTTCCTGGGTGGCAGAGAAGCTTGTCGCCCCCGAGTAGAGACCGGTGGTGCTGGCAGGGGCCGCTGCCTGGCCCGCTCCTGGACCTTGGGGCAGGCAGGGCAGCTGGGCAGCGGGCAGCTGTGTTGGGCTCTGGCCTCACCTCTCCCCTTCTCTCCCTGCAGGAGACCTCCAGCAACACCTGCAGGCCATGTTCATCCTGCTCCGGCCCGAGGACAACATCCGCCTGGTAGGCTGGCTCCTTGCTTCCTGACTAATGCGCCGCGGGAATGAATGTGCCTCCTTGACACACCAGCGGCTGTGACTCACCACAGCAGTGGGGCACATGTGTCTGCATGGCCTCTGCTTTATCAAGGGCTGCAGAGGTGTGAGTTTTCCTTTACAGCTACACGGCGAAGGAGTGGCTGATAACGAAGGCCGACTTATTTATTTGCCCAGGGAGACGGGGTGAATGGGTGACCCGAGGGCTCCCGCCTTTGTTTGTTGCCATGTGCCTGAGCCGCATCCTGGGCACTTGTGGTCACTCAAGATCCTGTAGCCATTGTCATAAAACTCTGAACATTACCATAGCAACGCAGGTAATGAATCCAGCCGGCCCAAGCTGCACCCCGCAAATTCAGTCGAGTTCTTTGCGTCCTCAAATCTTTGCATAATAGTGCAGCTGAGCCACCGCGGTCCATCCTGGGCCTGCCTCGGTAGCTCGAGGTGGTCTGGAGAAGACTACCTTGCTTAGGCAGCACGTTGTGCCTGTCTTTGGGGGATTTCAGTGGGAAAGAAGTGGTGGATCTATAGTATGGGTATCTCCTAAAACAGAGAGGAGTGAGTTTGGGAAGTGCGGGGGAACTGACAGTGTCTTAAACACCTTGAATGCATTGAAGTACCTACAGGATCTTGAGTGCTTGTTTTCTCTCTCGTCATCCATCACTATTGATCGGCCTTCTAGTGCCGGCTGGGTTAGTTTAGGTCTATCGCAACAATTTTTTTCACCCCCGCTCCCCTCCACTCCCCCCACGGACGAGCCAGCATCATGGGAGATATTCCAGCACCGCTGGTTTGCAGATTCCTCCTGGCCCACCACGTAACCAGATCTAGTCTAAGTGGAAGGCAGTTGCCGTCATTGCAAAGCACTTAAACTTTGACCATGACAATGGAAAGTGCTTCGCTGCTGCCTGTGTCGTGATTCATTGCAAACCAGCCTGAAAGGTACTTTCTGCAAAGCATCCAGTGCCCTTGGCTCCTGGTGAGGTGGGTAGGTGCCCGGCGTGCTCAGCATTTTGCCAGATTGGGGCCAGCATTAGTCTGCTTGAAATTAGTGAGCAAGTAATTGTTCAGCAATATCAGTGGCCACATTGTGCGAGTAGGGACAAATTGGCCTTGTTCGTAGCTGAATGAGGACTCTGTGGGCTGAGACATAAAGCCTTTTGTGCAGCGTTAAATTCGGAATGCTAAAATTTGGCAGGAGGTTAAGTTCAATAGACCACTTGAATCCCATTGATTGTGGACAAAGGAGGGGTGCGCGCAGTGGCAAGAGGCTCCTGGATAATAACGTACACGGCGGAGACTCCGAATGTAAACAGTGCCTCAAGAGCTGCTCTGCTCTCCTCTCCTCCGGCGTTGGCGGCACGGAGAGCGAGCTGCACGTCTCGGAGGCCTTGTGTGTTGATCGTGCTGCTCCTCTTGGCACTGGAGCCGGGAGCACTGTTCCCACAGGCTTCCACAAGCACCGCATTGGGCCCTTTGGCAGTGCCAGCGCAGGCCCAGGAGAGGGAAGGAAATGGGGTAAAGCATGCCCGAGCCTTTGGAGCCGTTTCCAAGCGCAGGCTCTTGCTCTGCCTCCAACCAAAACTTCCGGCTTAGAAACACCCGCTGCCTCCGCAGCGGCAGAGATTTCTGTGCTCTGCGCCTGGGGTGGAAGGGCGAGACCTCTGTGTGGACTTTGAACCTGCACAATGTGGTTTGCCTCTGGCTGGGTAAATATTGCATGATGTAACTGTTTGGCAGAGCGAGGTTACAGCAGAAGGTAGAATTGCTCTATAATCACGGTGCATATTTAAGCTGGCCGCTTGGACGGGGAGCCGGGCCCAAGAATAACTACAGTAGATTTCATGTGATGTAAGTCACTCTTCCTCTTAGAGAAGAAAACCTCCCCTTGCACAGGCAGCTAATTGGAGAGAGCCAGCACAGCACAGCACAGCACGCACCCAGGCCACGAGGAGGGGTAACACTTAAGGAGCTGCTCCACACTCTAATTCAGAAGGTGGGATGTAGCTTCCGGACCAGGGGTCGGGGGACCTTGTCCTCACAGGCACAACGAGGCTCTAATTGTTTGCGAAGGGCTTAGAGATGCTCTAGGGTCAGCTCTGTTATCAGTGCAAAGTGCAGCTTTTTCACTCAATCAATTAGAATAACATTGCAGGGGGAGAGGGGAAGGTGCTCACTGGGTGTCAAGTGCCAAGCCAGAAAAATCCGCTTTTTTCCTTAAAAATCTCTAGGAGAAAAATCCCTTCTGTGACTTGAGGCCACATGACCTTTAGCACCTGCCTGGCAGCCGGTGCTGAAAGGTCTTACGTTAAAGCCGCACTTCTAATTACTGCTACCCAAATTGGTTTAGTGTAGTAAATTAGATTACATTAATCCTCCGAGTGCCAGACAGGCCAGGAGGAGGAATTAGAAAGGAACCCGTGTGGCTCGGGCTCCCTGGGCTCCAGGGAGCAGAGGCTTCCTGCTCGTCTTCGTTCTGGGTGTTGTCATCTTCTGCGGGTGAAAAATCCCATGCCATTTCCCTGGTTCCCACGGGCCCTTCAACTTGGCTTAGACTCCTCACCCGCTCTGTCCTGCAGAAGTCCTAGAGACTGTCTCCTGGACAGCCAGCCGTCCCCTCTCCCGGTCCCAGCAAACTTGTCCTCCACTTTGCTAGAAGAGGTGCATCGTGGCCAGGACTGAGAGGTCAAGTGAGGTGCGTGGTTCAGCCTAGAGCAACAGGGCCAGGGCACTACCTCCGCTGCACAGAACGTCGCGTTGTGCCACGTCGAGTCGGGCTCCAAGCTGCCTAGGCCCCTGTAAGGTGGGCTGGGCCTTGGCGCTGTGGCGGCCGTGCTAGCTGTTGCACTGGCGCTCCCCCTACCAGGGCTGCAGTTCTCCCTTGCGCTTCTCAAGAGCACAGAGTTTGGGCAGCGAGCTCCTTTGCCAAACCCACAGGCTTCGCTCCACTGCCTGGAGGGTTTAACCAGGAAACTGGAGCTTGTCCCAGCTAGCAGGGCATGGGTGAGCTGTGCCACGGGTTGCAGGCATACAGGTCCTGCTGCCTGAGCAGGGTGTGAGATGTGGGCTCTGTGCCTGGGCCTTTGCCTGAGAACCGCAGACCCAGAGGCTTAAAAGCATGATGGGGGAGTTTCAGATCCTGGATCTAATTGCAGCCAGGTATCCATGCTGTGAGCGGGATGGGGCTGGGTTGTGACAGCTGTTTTCTTTCCACCCCCCCTTGTCCTCCTTTGCTCCTCCCGGGTGCCTTGGGAAGTTCAGGAAGCCGTTTCGCAACGGCAGCATAAACACTCGGGATGCAAGTGGTTTCTGGGCTGGCTCAGACGGCCCACAGCAAACTCATGACTCAGTGTACCGTAATTAAGAGATCTCCTTTCTTTGTGGGCGCCTTGGTTTCTCTTCAAGTGGGTTCTGCCATTAAAGTCATTGCGAGCCTCTTGGGACAGAAGCCAGCGAGTGCTGAAAGCGCAAAGCGTGCTGCATCCACCAAGGCCGAGCACATGCATGCTAGCTGCGTCCCCTCCGTTGGGCACACCACAGCCTGCCCTTGGGAGACACGAATTGGTAGCTCCCCTTGGCTTCTGGCGCGTGCGGTAGGCTTTCTGCCGTCTGTCATCTTCCTGGAGCTCGGTGCCGGCTTGTTCTTGCCGGTTGGCAGCAGGTGCTCACGCGGCGGTCCCATCGCCTCAGCGCCTGTTAGAAGCGTGCCAGCGGGGCTGGAAAGCCGGCTGCCTGGATTTCATCAGCCCTTCCCGGTTCCGGAGCAGGGTCAGCTCTTCCCTCTCCTGTTTGAAAGAGAGACGCAGCCGCTTCCTCTGGAGCCACAGCCAATGCCTGTGAGGAGCTGCGTGGGGCAGGAGCACCTCTCTGGGGCAAGCACGGTCCAGAGGACCAAAGCAGCCACCCCGTGGACTGCTGCCAGCAGTGTTTGGCAACACCCCCTGGCTGTAACGGAGCTCCCCCGCAGCAGCAGGCTGCAGTGAGCACATCAGGGCAAGACCTCGGTGTGAGAGAGGTGCTCTAGTCCCTCGGTGCCCAGGCTAGCGCCAGCCAGCCCTACTAGCTCAGGCCGGTGGTGACTGACGCCTGCTGTCCGGCATGAAGGGGCAATGCGCGCGAGTGCCTGCATGCATGACGCTGGCACGTCTGCTGATCTCGGCTGTTCTGTCCTCTTCTCTCCTCAGGCTGTAAGACTGGAAAGCACGTACCAGAACCGCACTCGATACATGGTGGTGGTGTCCACCAACGGCCGGCAAGACACCGAGGAAAGCATTGTCCTAGGAATGGATTTCTCTTCCAATGACAGGTACCTGGCACGCCGCGGCAGGAAGGGCCCTCTTCTGAATGGCGCCTGGTACCGACCTGTGTCTGGAGAGCCGCTGTCCGGACTCCTCCTGGTCTGGGACAGACAGCCTCAGGCTTCAGGCCTGTTCACCAGCCCCCAGATCCCCCCCTAGCTCTTTAAAGGGGTGGGGAGATCCTGGACTGTGTTTCTGAAATGTGCAGTCCGGGCCGAGCATTATGCTGCCAGGAGCTGGCAGGAAGGGCTGCACTTGGAAATCCCCAAAAACTACAGCTCCAGTGGGCCCAAGCAAGACGCCGGCACTTAGTGGAGAGCCCCTGAGGTCTTGTTTATATTCATCATGTCCAGTTTTCCTGGAGCATGTGAAATCATAAGAAGCCATAGCTGCAGATGCCTGGAGCCTGAGCTGAGCAGGGCTGCGACAGGTCCCTCACCGAGGTGGACAGGACTCGCAAAGTGGTGGTATCGGGGCTCCACAGGGCACGTTGGGCGGGCTGCGTGGCCATGTGCACGTCATCAGGGCTTAGTGCGCTCGCTGTGTTTATTCGAATGGCTGCTGAGCTCCCCTGAGGGTTGCAGAATGTGGTCACTAAGCCGTCTCTGCTGCCTGTGTAACTGGAGGTCTGGGCGAGCCGTGCCAGCTGTGCTGGGCAGAGGCTTCCTAGCTGGAGGTTAAAGGGGATGCAGGGTGCTCTGTAGAGAGCGAAGGGTGTGACGCACGTACCCGAACAGGCGGCCGACTGGGCTTTCTCAGGTACGAGGGAAGGCAACAGGATGCCTGGCATTTGTGGTAACTTTGTGGGACGTCCCTGGTGATGTGGGCTCTGTGCACCAGCCCCAGAGCACTGAGGGGCATCTCAATGTGTGAGTGATTTAATTGCTGCCAACCGTGGTACTGGGGGCAAACTACCCCTCCAGCAGCCAGTCTTTGGGCTCACGGTAGACCTGGCTGGATCTGCCCAGCCGTCCTTGGGGACTTACAGCACCTGCTTGCACTTCAGCTTCAGTTCTGGTCAGGTGCTGAGCTCAAAGCCCCATTTACACACCAGGAGCAGCATGTAAACGATGCTGCGTGCAGGGCGGATCGAGCCCTGGGGAGTCAGCGCAGGGCTCACGCTTCGCGGGTCCGCACAGCCCTGACACCGAGCTGGTCTCGAGGAGACTGCTGCGGCCGTCGGCTCCAGCATCCGAGGCGGCTGCCCCCGTGACGAGAGGGGCTGGCTGGCACCTGGTCTCACGCTCTCCGATAACGACGCGGGGTCGTTTTTAGCCGCCTCCTAGAGTTACGGCCCTCCCCCCGTCCACTCAATATTTACCACTCAAAATAGAGCAGTTGCTATGGCCCCTGCGAAGCGCCGGGTGAACGGTGTCACTAAAAATACCCTGGCCACCTCGACCAGCCTCGCAGAACCGCGTTTTTCCATGAGCTCATCTCCTGCAGGCCACAGAAATAGTCGCGTGTGGACGTGTCTCCTTGGGCCCTTCCACGCCTGCCCCCCGGGCTAAGGCCCCTGGGGTGGACTCGAGCAAGTCCAGTGCAAAGCATTAGCGTGCAGAGGACAGGACAACCCAGATCTTTCCATGAAGGCTTCTCTTTGATCCCATATTGATTTCGGCCCCTTCCCCGGAGACCTGATACCCAACAGGTTGTTGTTTTTTTGCTTCTTTCATCACTTTAGCTCTGCTCTTGGCCCAGCCAAGTGTATGGCCCAACACGACGTGCTGCTAAGGTGACAGGAGCAGTCAGGAGACCAGTGACACTGCCAGTAAATAACACCACCCCCCTGGCTATCCACGCTTAGCTGCTGGGTACGGAGGGGCGCTAGGGTCCTGCCGTGAATCTTGCGTGCTGATGTTCCTGCTGGCATTGAGTAATACTGTCCCAGTCCCAGCACCTGTCCGAGCCGCTGACCAAAACAAACCAAGCCAGGACCAGCCCTGAGCCATTCAGGCTGACAGCACCCGAGAGAAGATAGGGACCGTTCCTGTCACCGGCTCCTTGAGCTGACTGCAGATCGCATGACCCTCCGCCCTCCTTCCTAGAGCCTACCGCTTCCAAATTCTGCTCGCTGTTCCCCTGGGGAGACACGCGCGCTCTGCGCTGGCTGCCAAGGGCATTAGCATACGCGAGCTTTGGTTAACAGCCCGTGTCAGACACCACTTCAGTCTGCCAAGGACACCTGTAGCACGCGAGGCTGACTGCATGGTGTCCCTGCACTGCCATGAGATTTATTCATGATTTCTGATGAATACAAATTGCTGCCATCACTGTGAAATGAGCAGGCTGACTCCTGGGAACACGCCCGCCTGACTCTCTCTTTTCCATTGCAGTAGTACTTGTACCATGGGCCTGGTGCTGCCACTGTGGAGCGATACCCTTATCCACTTGGACGGGGATGGGTAAGTGTCCCTGGTGCAGGCGGGCGGGAAGCCGAGGGGCTCTGGGCCACGCAGGAGCACAGGGTGGGATGCTGCGTGCATTGAGCAGCAGTGTGTGCACGTGTGTCAGTTCATGTATGGTGCACACGTGTATATGTCTGAGAGCTTGCTGATGCAAGGCAAA